AAAAACTTTTTGATTAGTACTTAGCCTACTCAGTAGCATAGGTCCTTTGCAGAATAATTTTTTATAAATTCCCCCAAAACAGGTATCTTCCAGTGGACTGGAATTCAGGAGAGGGAGAGCAGAGGGTGAGTTGAGTGCCTGGCCTTTAAACATTCCCTTTGCTCTCTTGCATTTGCTATTTAATTCCTGAGGATTGTATTTCCTTTTCCCATCCCTCTGACATACCTGTTTAGCTTGTAAGATGTCTGGCACAGGGCTGTGTGTCCAGACATGGACCCCCATGAATCTCTGGGTTCAAGAGGAGGACAGCAGCGGCAGCGCTGCCATCCTGGAGCTGCATTGGCTACATTCCCATCCTGGGAGCTCCTGTACTTGAGGCTGCTTGTCTCTAGGTAACTCCTCAGTGTAGGAACAAGAAAGTCACCCTCCTCTGCAACTTGCTGCAGCACATCCTAGGAGCATTGTGCCACATCCAGCCCTCTCCTTCCCAGGGCTCCCTGATCCCTTCGGCCCCCTTACCCACGCACTGTCTGGGGGAGTAGTGCTGGTTACCTGAGAGCCCCAAACTCCGTGAACCAGACCCACCTGGGTGATTCCTGTGTCTCTCCTTCTCTGGTGGGGTTTTGGGGATTTGCTGGCCTGTCTGCAGGTGTTAAAGGCTTCACTGTTTCACCTCTGTCTTGCTACATTTTCCCCGGAAAGTGGTGTAGCACTGCAGCTGCCTCTGGCTTGCGCTGGTGCTGCCTGAGTGCCGCTCTGAAGTCTCCTGGCCCTCGCCATCTCTGGGCAAGCTGCCTCTGTAATAGTTATCTGCCGTAGCTCCCTTACAGCTGCACGATGCTTTTATCCTTCCCTTCCTCCTGCATCCTCCTTACCTTTATTGGGTAGCTAGAAGTAGGTGTTGTCTGGAGTGGGTGCTTTCCTCCCGTTCCCCACTACCGAGCGCTCACCACATGACAGCAGAGCTCACCCAGGCCCTGGCACCGCTCCCACTCCCGGAGCTGGCAAATGCCCTCCTGCCTCTGAGCTCCGACAGCGGGAGCAGATCAGCGCTGGGAGCAGCCGGAGCACTGCTTTATGGGCCTTTACTCCTGTACACCTCCGGTTTTCCACAAATCTTGCCAAGTGAGTTTCCTGATTGTGGGCTATGTCATTCGCTGTGCTCCCCTTCCCTGCCCCCACCCATTTCCTGACATCACTTCAGATCCGGCTGTAGCACTGGTCCGGTTCTGCTGGAGCACTCCACCCTGGACTTCCGAATGCAGTAAATCTTTCTGGCCGGGAGAGTCATATGGTGCGTGGAGCATGAAAAGCTACAAAGCTTTGTCAAGCTTAGGAAAGAAATCCTCAAAAAATGAGGGAGAGTATTGAACTCCTTTTTTCTTCCTCTCTCTTCTCTCCCCCTCCATATTGTGTTGCCTTCCTTTGGCGAGTTTGCTCTACCTTAAACAGAAATAAATAAACAAACAAAAACTTGAAATTTGTCTCTGCTGCAGTCTCCTGCAGCAATTTTGAAATCATCTGGCATAAAGGAATAAAACACATTCTCATTTCTTTCAGTGGTCTCTTTGGGGTGCCTTTCTAGACTTCACTGTCATCATCTTTCAGAACACCATGGGTGCTGTTTAGTTTACCAGTGCTTACACCATCTGGCCTCAGAGGTTGGAGATGGTCATTCTGGGGCTAAAACTGACCAAAGCAAAGGTTTGCAGTGCTGTGATTATTAATAATCTCTTGGCAATCTTGCTGCCATATACCCTCCTAAAAAAAGGTTTTAATTGATAAAGAAAGTGTTGGAGCCCTCACTGGCATTATCACCAGATATTTTTCTGCTGGAGGTCCCTAGGATCCAGGATTTCCTCACCTTCCTGGCATTTGGGCTTATCCCATTTGCTACTGATTCAGATCTCAAAGAGCAAACACAAACTAGGTTTTGTACTTTTTTTGTCTTTTGTGTCAGCACTGGGAGTAAAAGGACATGTCAGATTTTGAACATTGCTTTTCCCAGTATAAAGTCAAAAGTGTTTCCACCTGCATAAATGGGGATCAGATGGACTTGAGTCAGGTGTGTTTATAACAGCATGCTCCTCTTCTAAAGAAAACTAATTTCTTTAAACAGTGGGCAATTGATGGAATTTACATCCCCGTGTGTTTTGCTGCAGGATTAATAGCGGTGTCCTGTAGGACAGCTGCAATTTGCTGCCCTAAAACACTGCTTGGGATCAAAGTGCCCTTCTGCCATATTGCCCACGAGCTATATATGGTGACCAGAACTTGGGTGTGAAATGTCTTCAAGTCCTTTTTTTCCAGGTCAGTTGTTTGAGGCAAACACAGCCACCCCTCCTGGCTGCCTCTGCCTCCTCGCCTTTAGCCAGTTGAATTTTTGCTCACTTTTTATCAGTCTAAAGATATTTGACATCATAGTGTAGTGTCAAAGCCCTGGAGAGAAACAATGTCTGGTGGAAATGATGTCTTGTGTGGACTGAAATCGCTTTGATGAATACTGTAGAAAGAGTGATGCTTCCTGGTGAAAGTTTTTAGGGGAACATTCTTGTTTGTTGCAGGAGACATCACAGTTAGTTCTGCTGGATGCTCCACCATCATGAACAGGCAAATATTCCTTTTCACTTTTGCCTTGCTGAGGCTTTTGCACTTTTTTTTTTTTTAATGAGCTGCAGTCATCTCCTTTACACTGGGTTAAATAGTAGCATGGCAGTTTATCTGAATTATTTTTATTATGTCCTGTGGCAAAGAACAGTGGTCCATCATGAGCAGAGCATATTTGCATGGCATCCCTAACAACTTTGTCTTCCATACTTTATTGTGACTCTCAGGTTACTCCTGAGGAAATTCCAGGGATGGACATTGTGGGGTGCAATGTCACAAACACTCCAGGATCAGTTTGTGTCTACAGTGGTCAGTTCCTGTGTGTCCTCCCCAGAAGTGACACACAGTGGGGATTTTTCTGCTGTGGGTGCTGATTACACTTGCAAATGATACTGACGTGGGTGGAGCTCTGAGTTTTCTTGAGAACAGGGTTAGAATTTAAAATCTTGACCAAGTGGAGAAATCACTTGGAAAAAAATAAGAGGTTATTCAGAGAAGGACAAGCACAAAGTTGTTAACTTAGGTGGGAATAATGGGCTACCCAGAATGGGAGCTGGCTGGCTGAGCAGCAGCTCTGCAGAGGGAGGATGGAGTTGATGGTGGATTCCAGGCTGACTGTGAGTCACTGGCCTCATACAGTTATGAAAAAGGCAAGCTGAGGTTTATAACCAAAAGGGTACAGTGATCCTTCCCCTCAGCTCAGCTTGGTGAGGTCTCAGCTGGAGTCTTGAACCAGTTTTCTGCTCACAGCCTTTAAAAACAGCAAAACAACTCAAAAGTGGGTCAAAAAAAAAAAAAAGGAGGAAAATAGCATGAATGGATGATTTAGCAGGCATGACCTATACAGAGAAAGTGTAAGTATTGGGGTTGCTCAGTCCATGGAAGAAAAAAGTGAGGGGATGGATGAACATGCTAGCACCTGTAAAATGTGGGAAGGAATAAGCTGTTTAGCATATATTTCAGGAAGAGGACTGTGTACTTGAATCTTGTGGGAGCTTTGTGCAGAGCAGTCCCGGTGACAGCCTGTCACCAGAAATCCACGGGAGCCTCTTTTTAGCAAATGTATTTATCTGGAACTGTTTCTGTGGCAATGGCCCTTCCTCTCTCCTGCTTTGTGACGGCCAAGCCTGAGAAACACATGGTGGGAAGGGAGCCTGTGCTTCCCATTGCAGGAGAGCTGGCTCTGGCCCAGTGAGCCGAGGAGAGCAGGGCAGCTGCAGAGCTGACCTGCCCCTCCCATCGATGCCGGCATGGCAAAGCTCACCCTGTGCCCCTGGGCTGAGGAGGAAGCTCCTTCATAGCCAGGTGGGGCCCCACAAGTGCTCGGTCAGAGGTGTGCTCTGATGTCAGGCAATGAGATTTTTTTGGCTGCTGGTGTAGGGGAATTGAACATATGCATTTGGCTTGCATGGAAAGGCCAGTCATTTTCCTCTCTAAGGCTGGAGGCAGGAGAGGTGACCAGGGTGAAAGCAGGAATGTGGCTTTAGACTCACTGCAGGACTTGGTGGTCCTGCAGGAGCACCAGGTATCAGCTCTCAGGATATGACAGATCCATCCTGACAGATGTCCCTTCAGCACCAGCAGCCAAAACATGGTTGTGCTGTCCTGAGGGGTTTGTTCTCATCTTTTAGGGAGATTTTTGTCTTGTGGATGGGCTTGCTCTCCTCCATCATGTAGCAGCTACCGCAGCAAAGCAATATTAGGAAGTAAGATTTTAGCTGTCTTCCATGTGATTAGTCCTGCTTGAGGGAGGGGGAAGGGCCTCACACTCCCTATTAATCATTTCTTCTTCCCTCCTCCCATCTGCTCAGTGATTCTCTTGCTCTTGCATACACCACTAATATTTGATCACTTTTATTTCTCTCTGATTCTCTGACTCCCTCCCTGTCCTTGTTGGTTCTTTCTTGAATCTCTGCCCTCCTTGCTCCCACATGCTTGCAGAGATGCTACTCAATGACCTAATTTTCTTCCCTAGCTTCTAAGAAAGAAAACAGGAAAAAAAAAAGAAAGAAAAAATATTCTGAAGTTCCTCATTCCCTTCTCCATGGACATTACACCTTTTCCCAGCAGTCAGCACCTTCAGCCAGAGTTGTAGAGCATGTGTGGGCAGTGCCTGCTTCCCTCCTCCTCCTCTTTGGGCCCTCCCCAGAGGGTGCAAGCCTGACTCCTCCTCCACCTCCTTCTCTTCCAGCTGCTTTCACTAGCCTCCTAGCTCTTCTTGGCAGTGAGGAGCCTGGACATCTGTAGAAGCAGCTGGAAGCAAGATGGAGAGCCAATATCCTGCAGCTCATCAGATCTCTACAAACCTCAGCTCAGGAGCAAACTGCTTAATTTGCTGGGTTTTTGTACTCCTTTAGTTCGCAGCGCACACCGCTCGTTGCTCACGATCCCAGCAAAGCTCCAGCTTTATTGATACATGTCATGGCACGGCTATAGCCTGTTGTTTTAGAAATCTTGTCACCAGTCTGTAAATCAGAAGAAGAAGGCAAAGTTAAGCTTTGTTTCCACCTGGATCTTCAGCACTACCTGCCATTAGCATCATATGGTTCCACGGACAGTATTTAATCCTGCGTTAGTAAAATTTGACCTCTGTCAAACAAGCAGCAATACCACAAATTCATAGTCCCGAGAACACAGCAAAAGTGTTTCTTGCTGGTTCCCTGTCACTTCCCTACCTGATTTACATCAAAACCTTCTTGCGGAGATGACTGGTGATACTCTGAAAGGTGACAGTCATCCTTCCCTGTAAACACTGGAAGGCAGCGTCAAACCGAGCTCCGCAGGGCTGAAGGAGCAAAAAGAGGTGCAGGATCCCTGCTGCTGTTCCTGGAGGTGGGAGAAGCTGGCGGGGGCTGGGAGCTGCAGCATTTTGCAGCAGGGCGTTCGGGGATGGGCCCCCGAAGGGAAGCTTGGAGCCGCGCTGCCGTGAAAAGCCTCGCAGCATGTTACATGATGCAAGCTCCTTGGCAAGTGCTGTAATTGTGTCACTGAAATGGCTGAGCCACAATGCTCAGGGAAAGGTTTTTCCTGGTGAGCCTGCGAGCACACTGTACCCTTCCCTGGTGCATGAGAGCACTCTGGGAAGGCCAGGGATACCACAGAGTGCTGAGAGAGCTCTTGTTTGGAGAAGGGTTCCTGTGCTCTGTTTCGGGATTTGAAATTTGCCAGTTTGTGGCTGAGAGCACGTAACAAGAGATATAACTAGACAGATGCTTTAAAAATATTTTTCAAAGGACTTGGAAATGAGTGTGACGATTATGGACACCATTTTCATAAAGCTTTCAGCCCAGCATCCTGTTTTACTTTCACGACAAACTGCAGTTATGCACAAAAACAGCTACTGGAGTTTTTAATATCTTGCTCCCCCAGCAGTAGCTGTTTGCTTTCAAATGCCATTATTTGCACCCAGAGCCATTGGAGCACAGAGGTACAAAGTAAAAGGAATTGCTTTAGAAATCAGGCTTTAGGCTTGGTTTGGGGTCAGTCTTCAAACCACCAGCTCTGACATGGCTGGGCAGTGCTTTGCAGCAGGGGCACCCATAGGTACATGTGGGTACACAGAGCCTGCATGTGGTGTTGTCAGAGTCCAGTGTGAAGCAAATACCATTTGCAAGTAGCCCTAATATGTTCTAGTTCTTTTTCTTCCCCTGTCTCTAAACCTTTGCTGTGAAACAGAGCTCTCATATTTTCCATTCCTAATTCAAGAGCTGGAGGGATTGCTAAAGCCAGGTATCAAGTTACAGGAGAAAGAGTGAAGACATTTGGTTGCAGCTTCATTGGCTCACACAGTGCATACACCCAAGCAAACATTTTCATCAGCCCCCATGTCTCTGTTAAAACTAAGGAAAGTCATCTTTTCTCTAGGTCTGTCCTTGGGAAGGACACTGTCTGCAAGGAAAGTTCCCTTCAGTAGAGGTGTTTGAAGGCTGGAAACAGGAGGAAGGAAAAACCCTGTAATGATCAAAAAGCATCTCGTCCATAGTACAGGAAATGTTGTTCCTGCTCATCTGAGCTACCAAAATAAGGCAAACCAACAAGTTTCAACAATAACAATGTTCAAATTAAATCCTTTGAATGGGTAATGTGTGTAGCTTAAAATGTGACTCAGCCAGGAATTGTTACTATTTCTGGTACTGTTTTAGTTTTTAAACCTAGTCTACTTCAGATATTCGGCATGTCCTTGGTTGTGATAGGAGGCTGATTAGAGGTGGTGACTAAATATCCTTTATGGGCTGACTAATTCAAGCTTGGATCTTTTTTGCTGAAATTGAGATTTGATACTCTCCAGGTTAGACATGAACGTGAGTGAAGATTGCAGTGTGTAAAAGAAAGCCAAACTCCTGTATTCTTTTTTTTTTAACCTTCTCCATATCACCTCCTATCTAGCATTTCTTTTCTTGTTGGGGTTTTCAAGACCATGATTTGTTTTTTTAGCTCAGACAGAACCTCTTCTCTGTGTTAGGATGCCTTCTTCAAACCTTCAGCTGCTTCTGTTTGATTCTTAGAGTGGTGGTGTGTGTTTGGCTGTTTCCTCAGTAGTTTGTCCCACCAAAAGAGCCTTCTCACATCCTCTTTTCCTTTCCTATGTATTCTCTTGGTTTTTCCCCTGTGTGCTGGTTTTCCTTTTGCTGATCTCTGTATGTTAGTCCTTTTTGTCGCTCATTTGCACTTGTCTGGCTGGGAATGATCTGCAGCCAGCTCTTATGTTTCCCCACCATTCCTTTCCTTTGGTAGAGCTGATGGGAAATGCTGTATTTCCCCCTTCCCTCCTCCCTCTGCCCCCTTCCTCTCCTGCTTCCTTTGCTCGTACAGCTAAGTGAAAAGCGCTTAATAAAAAGGACTTTGGGTAAAAGAGGAGCAGAACAAACTCCAGTTATTTCCCTGTGTGTGTTTTCTACTGTCTGCCTGTTCTGCAAGCAGGCACTCAGCTTTTGAAGCTTCATATTCTTGGGAATCAGTAGAGAGATTAATTTTGGACAGGGTAGCAGTGGACTGACATTTGATTTCCTTATTTAAGTGTGACTGTTATCCATATGCTGGAGACCCACGTGACTTACAGCACCCTCTCTCTGCACTTCCTCAGTGTTTCTGCCCAACCTTCAGTTCACATTTTGCTGGCTACCCTTGCAGTGAAAAGAAGTAGAAATTGTCTTCTTTCCCACTGAAAGTTTAGGTTAAAACTAAAACACATACAGAGATGCAGAAGCTGTGGGACTTGTCTCCTCTAACCCAAAGGCTGCCTTTGGGGGCAGCACTGGGGGCTTTTCAGAGAGCTGGAAAGGGGAAATTTCAGTGTTGTGCACAAGGATTTTGCTTCCTGCTGCCCATGTGGCAGTTGTAAAGGTGTCCCTAAACTCTAGTAGTTGTCAGTGTGTTTGCTATACTGAGATACTCCATGAACCCTAAATGTGAAGCATGCTGAGATCAGAGGGGAACCGCAAATGAATCTGTAATTTCAGCTTTTTTGTCTTGATTTTTCCGAGATTGGTGGACAGTGATTTGTTGTGTGTACTGCTTGTGTACCGTGTAGCATGAACAAAGAGAGTCCATGCAATATGAAAGACACAAACTGAATTAAAACTGTCAAGTTCTTCCCCTCCTGCCACTTTTCCAGGCTGGTTTTTTCCTGTGTGGGCTGTGTGTTGTTTGCGTGCTTCCGCTGCTGCTCAGTGAAACACACAGCACTTCTGGAGAGCAGACAAAACAAAACTAGGTGCTTTGTTGTTGCCCATATGCCCAAAACTAAGGATAAGAAAAGACTCCTCCCTTCTCATGATGTGACTCTTGGGGATGGTTCTGTTCAGGGCCAGGAGTTGGATTTGACAATCCTTGTGAGTCCCTTCCAGCTCAACAGATCCTGTGATTCTGTCCCTCATCACAGACCTTCAGTGCAGGCAGTAGGAGTTGGAAGAAGTTGGGTGAAAACCTGAAGGGAGTCCAAGGTCTCCTTACATTTGTGTAACTCCTGGTGGGAGCAGTGTGATGTAACACTGAGCAGAGTCATTGTGCTAATGTACCTTTGGACCTGGACAAGAGGGAAAAAAGCTGTGAGACAGCCTCTTGTCAGGAGCTTCTCCCTGCAGTCCTCCAGATTCCTGAAAGACAGGTCACATCCTACCAAGCATGAGAGATGCTGAGTGAAGATGTACAGCCTGTGCTCTTCAGGTCTGCAGACTGGATAGGTCCCTTGAGCCTTTGCCTATGAATACAGGAAGGACACACTATGGAAGGTCCTTTAGGCAGATGCCTTCAATAGATGAGAAAAAGAAAGCCCAAGTTATCTGCCTCTTCTTCCATCTTGCCCTTTCCTGGGAAGCACAACCCCCTTCCCTCTGAGGGGCTGTGGTCTGGAGGCTTGCTCTGGGGCAGTCCAAAGAGGCAAATCACCTTTGAGAATAAGACAAGGATATTTGGATCACACCTGCATGCCCTGCTGTGTGCCCTGGTGCTCAGGAAAGGGTATTACTGGAGAGCTGTAACAGATGAAGCTCAAATGAGCAAAACCAGATGTCAAACATATTTTCTACCTATCCAGGCTGTCCCTTACTGTAATAGTGGCAGCAGGAGAAACTATAAACCTTCTGCAAGTGAAAATGTAGCCCCAGACTTTGAATTGCTTGTTCAGCTGCTCTGTCAGATAGATGGTGTGGGATAGAAGCACACATCATCTTCTGTCAGTGTGGGAGGCTCCCTTGCAAGGTGGACAGGATGCTTAGGGTGGGACAGCTTGGAAAGGCTCCTCAGAGTTCAATCCACATGTGCTGTTAGTCACTGCCTGTCCTTTACTCAGGCGGGAGTTTCAGGCTGGGTGCTGTAGCTCACAGTCTGACCCCAGATGTGTGTTAATTATTTATTTTTCTCCACGTGCTGGCAGATGGTTGGAAGAAGAGTCTGCCAAGCATAGTGCATGCTTGAGGGCAGTGATTTTGAGACACGTTGTTGAGATTATCTGATGTTTCACATTTTCTGTAATTTAGTTTGTGTGTGTGTGAAGGGAGTATTTAAAACTTGCAGACAATAGTTTGCTGGGTTGCAGGGAATGAAACCCCTAATGAATAGTCCATTGTTTACATCCATTTGAGGCTGTTTCTTTGCTGAATTAGTGCCATGAAACATAGCTGCAACTCTGTTGTTTTTAACTCCCCTCTCCTTACCCATCCCCCCTTCCTATTCCTTATGGTTGCTAAATCCTGCTGCTATCTTCTCTACACAAGTTTCCAGGCTTCCTTCTCTCCTCTTGATTTTCTTCTCCTTAAACCTCTTGTCCAAACTGGGTCATCTTTTGCTTCTAGTGTGATACATTTTCCCATCCTTGGCCTCTTGGACTCACACTTCAGTCCTTATTATTTTTATCCAGATGAATGTGGGGAAAGAAAAAAAAAAAACAAAAAAAACCCAACAAAAATGCCCAAACTATTTTCTGCCATAATCAGGTCTAGATCCCCCTCTTGCCATTGCCTTTCCCTCCCCACCTCCTTGCTTTGGAGCTCTTTCTGTGCCAGTTTGCAGCTTGCATAGATACATAACTGTTTTATCTCATATTTGCCTGCAAGCCCTCTGCCCAGTTTCTAGCTCTTATTTTCCTCTCCATTCAGGAGGCTTCCCCCCTTGCTCTGCTCATACTGCTCCACGCTCTGATCTCTGTGCCTTCTTCTGGTGACCCCTACAATTTGAGGTAGCTCCGTTTCCCCTGTCTTCAAACAGATAAGTGGTCTGTTGGCAAAGTTGTAAGCTTTTTTTCCTGCATTCTGGTTTGTAGATGGCTCTTTTTTTGTTGTGCTGCTAATTGATGCTGTGTAGCTGTTTACCTGCACGATGCTGGAGTGATTGCTCAGACTGATGCATACCACACTCTGGAACTGTTTCTTTTCTCTCCAACCCTGATTTATGGATAACTGGAAAAAGCAATTCTTGGCTGCCCTGTTTAGAAAACTATTACACCACAGAAAAACTCATTACATGAACACAGCACCTGATATAAAGAAGCTGTGTTTGGTTTTCTGGTTTCCCCCATGAAAAAAAAGCTTCCCTTTATTATTGAAACAATAATTCCCCTCAAATTATATTTAAGGGATGTAGGCACCAAGGCTTGCCTGCTCTTCTAGGAGTTCCTGGAAATTGGAACTGGGGAGTTTTTTGTAATCAGTACAGGGAATGTGGTATTTTGGAGAGGTTTCGCTTGTTTTCTGGATAGGCAGTGTGCACATGCCACATAATACAAGCACCACATTTGCTAGCCCAGGTATCTGCAGAGAATTCCCTATGGATGAAGGGGTTGGGAGGATTGGAAAGCCCCAAAGATGTCAGGAAAGTAGGTACAGACCAACTGAGAGTCTCCTTTAATTAAAGGAGTGCTGTGCATTGAGCATATCGAGTGCATTTGCTTCCCTTTTTTCCACAACCTCGGTGGGATGCCCTCTGGATTGCAACTTAAGGGCAATGCTGTAAATTTTGAAATACTGTTTGTTTGTGTAGGACTGTGTCCTGGGTCAGCATAGCTGCTCTACAATATGGCAAAATCATCAAGTGACAAGCAAACCAATGATGCTTCAGCCCAATGCCAAAGAAAATCCTGCAAGAGAGAATTAGCTGTGAAAATTTACCCTGTTGCTACGGAACTCATTTCGTTGCATATATCATGTCAGAGTTGAATGACTGAAGAAATACTCCACTTGGGAAATGAATATTTGTGCCAGTTACAGGACAGCTTATTCATGCATAAAACCTGAGACACCTGGTAGTGGTGTTGGACAGGTTGTTTTTGAATGAATGTACTTGTTGGAAGGCAGGGGAGGAGCGAAATGCCTTTGTGTCTTTAAAGTATTTTTCCTTTTGATGCCATATACTGTTAAAGAAACCAGATTTTGGGGAGATGTTTTTTCTGTAAGCAGCAAGAATTTCTGCTTCCTACAGTGGGGATCCTTTCTCCTTCTTAGTTCCCCTCCAGATTGATGTTAAGATCCTGAGGCTGTGGGCACTGCTTTTGTTTTCGCCTCTTAATTCCCTATAAAAACACAGAGCCAAGATGTATAATATGATCAATTCCTGACTTTCTTACAAGAATTTTCTCTTCTTCCCATCTCCATCCCTAGACATTGCACATCCCTCCCAAACCAAACTCCTGTAGCCCAGAAATAGGTCACACCTCACCACCTGGACAACAGTCGTGGCTTGCGTCATCGCTTGGCGTGACGTTGGCAGCACTCAGCAAGCAGGACCGGCTTCTTCAGGGAGCAGGATGTGAGAACACCCTTTGTGATTCCTCCAGATGGGCCTTGGGAGGTGATGGGGGAGAGGACTCTGTTTACACAGGGAAAAAATAAAGAGGAGGTATAAGCTAACATGATCAGCGCACAGATTTTCTGCTGGTTGGTTTGGATGATTTATAGTGGTATACAGAGCTTTGTCGCCTTTAAGCTGACTTGTTCCACTGCTGGCCAGAGGTCAGCCCACTGGCCTGTAAAAAATGAATTGTCGATGTCTGTGGCCTTTCCCGGTGGCCACAATCCTGGGGCTGTTGTCAGTCCTGCTGTTGAGCTCAAATCGGGGCTGGAGGGGACTGTCCAGGATACTCGCTGAGCCTCTTAGCAATGGTGATTTCATTTTGGACATCCCTATAAAGTGACCCTGTGCAGGGCATATCCAAATCTCCTTTATAGTTAGTGGGTAGAGGAGCAGCAATGCCAGCAGTTGGACTGGTAGCCTTTGCTCAAAAATGTGATTTCTTGTCACAGTGGTTACTTCGGGAAGCTCACAGGAAAGAAGCACACTTCCATTTTTTTTTCAGATTTTAGTTGCTGCAAAAGGTTAGCTGCACATTGGATAGGCACAATGGAATTAGCAGCAGAGGCAGAGGTATCTACGAGCATGTGACCATTTTTGTACGAAATGTACGTTGTGCTTCTTCCTGAGAAATGCTGGGAACAAATTGTTATAGAAATGGAAAATACAGTCAGTCTGTTTTGGGCTCAGGCAAGAAATGAGGGCCCTATAGCCTGGAGAGATGTGTATGAATCTGCGTGGGGAAAATGCTCCTTAATTAGATGGGTTGGCAGATCCTGTTTCTCCTGCTCCTTCCGCAGTTTGCAGCGTTCAGTCTAGGAAACGCCTCCCGAACTCGCCCACCACTGCCCTTACGGAGGCCTGGCACACTCACCTGGAGTCCTCCATGCCGTATGGCTGGATGTCACTGAGACCTGGATCGTGACCTGTTTGGCTGGACAGACAGCTTCAGCCTGGGAGGGGAGCCCAGCACATCCCCTGCCCTCTGCACACCGTGTTCTTTAGTGCTCCTTCCTGGCAGCTGGCTGGGCTCTGGCGTGGAGAGGACGGCGTCTGTCCCGGCGGGGCCTGGCCGGGCGCTGGGGATGTGCCAGGGGCCCTGTCCCCTCCTCTCGCGCCGGGGAGCTCGCCGTGCTGAGCGCTGCTGCTCTCAAAGTTGCTTAACAGACAATGCTTGACTCTATCTTGACAATACACCCTTTTCTTGAGAGAAATGAGAAGTTTCAATTTCAGTCACTAGCCTGTTTTTCATTGACCTGTTTTAGTCAGCAAGTCATGGCTTTACTGTGCCACTCTCTCAAACTGCCACTCGTGAGCCTAACGAGACGGTGGAGCAAAACTCCTGTCCTCTGCACAAAATGCAAAGAGAGAAGAGACAGTTTTATCCCAAACATTAGAGGAGACTCGGTCAAATTAACGCCACAGTAAATGTAAAATAGTTTTAATTTACAGAGTACTTTAGGCCCCAATTGGGAGGTGGGGGGGAAGGGCTTGGAGTGAAGTTAATAAACCTTTTAAAACTTTTGACTGAATCTTTTATTCAGTGTTTGTATAACTCAGTTATCTGCTAGTTAATACCAGTATTTTTGATACCTCTCCAGAGCCAATACATGACAAACCTTCAGCCCTGTTGGGTATTTGTGCTACAGCATATTTAATAGCCATGACAACAATTCAACAATTGTATAGAAGCTTCCCCTCCCTGTCTGAGTGTTGCAGGCACCAGAGTGTCTCCATTGGAAAACCCCTAAACATACAGTTTCAGCCAAAACTGGCTTAATGATAGTCTACTGAGAGCTTGACAGGCTTTTTTTTTCCTTTAAAAATAAAAAAGAAAAGGGGGCACTTTTTCCCCTCCCCCCCTCAATTTTTTTTCTTAACTTCTTCGCTGCTTTTGTGAAAGCTGCCGCTGTAAAACACAAGGCAAATTAAAAAAATAAATTGCTTTAAATTGCTTAACAGGCTTGATGAGACAAAGCCTGGTGTGTTGGAGTGGCTGCAGGGAGCTCTGCGGCTGCTTTTGTATGATTTCAGAGGTGAATTTAGATGGCTGGAAGATAGATGGGTGCCAGATGCAGTTTGACACAGATTCCGGCAGCTGCTCCTGCGCGAGGTTTCATTAGTGGTGAGTTAGCGAGCAGCAGAGCGCCGGCGAGGCCCCCAACGCTGCGCTGACAGCAAGAGCACTGAAACAATACAATATTCGCTAAGTGATTTTAATCTGGGAGATTAAATGACACCCAGTTGGTTTCCCGACTTAGAAAGCCAGCACAGTGTAAAGCTGTTCATGGCACTCACTCTACCGGGGCCCTTGTCACATACATTTACATTGAGAGTGCTTTCCCGAGCTCCTCACCCTGAAATGGGAAGAGAAGGGTTGATTTTGTGTTGCAGACATATTTTTCCATCCTCACTGTATAATGTGCTTTTAACTACAACAGGAAACATTGGCCTCACTTCAGCAAATGCTTACATTGGACCGAAGTGCTCGCGTGCTCCTGCTAAGCGCAGGCAAAACTGTTTGAAAGATTAGGGTCTGTAACGTGAACGGCTTCCTTTTTAATAGATGGGCAAGTCCCAAAATCAGGAAGCAGTTGGTATTTACGGGCTTGGGCAATTGGGTTTGGTTTTAAATAAACCAGTGTGCTACAATGGATGACTTGATAGAAATGGTGGAGGAGTTGCTGTTCTCCAGGAAGATGAAGTTTTATTTGAAGAGGAGCACTAAAGATTAGGACTTGGTGAAGGGAGGGAAAATGTAATCGAGCTTATTTGCAATACAACCTAGGCTGACTTCAAGATTCTTCTAGGGGAACTTAATGGGCTGTATTTTGGGAGCCCTCACTGTGGCACATTTACTGTGTGGTTATTCAGACTTTCTGTATTTTTTGTGTATCTCTAATTGCTTCAGCAAGTAAATCCTTGACTAGGAAAAAAAAAAGGTTTTCTCCTCTGATAGATGGGGAAAAATATGTAGGGAAGCAGACAAACAAGATCTTTCTTTCACATGTGCCACATGAATTTTGCCTTTACATATTTAACTGCTGATGTCAAACTACTCTGTTCACTTTGAGTCATTTGCTATCCTCACAGTAAACAGACAAACTAGTTGGTTTTTATTTTCCTCCTCCAATCAATATGAGAGTTGTATGTGTATGGGCTGCTGTCTTTGGATCTCAACTGTTTGTAATGTTTGTGCACATTACAGTTCTGCTTCTAGATGCCTTTGGTAAATACCCCATGCATGGCTTCAATTAAGCTTTCTATATTGAGAAAGTATGCCTTAATTTATCAGGTTAAAGATATCTCTGTTACATCAATTTGTTCACAGTGTGTTGTGACCTAATCAACTAGGGATGTAAGCCATTTCATGAGGAGTAATTACTCAACAACAAAAAATGTCTCTCTTTCCTAATAGCTGTGAGTGACTTGGCTAATTGGAATCCATTTTGGTAGTGGCAGGTCAGCAATCAGGAGGTGGCTTTCCTGGCTGGCTTCTAGGTGGGAGGGAGAAGGCAGCAGCAGCAGCAGGAACACAGAGCTGTGGTTTCCTCAGGTCACTGGGAGAGCTTCTCTCCGTCGGATCAGTGTCACATGTGCTGGCATCGGGGTGTCCTCGTGATCCCCTTTACCACCAATGCTGTGACAATTTGGTCAGAACCCTTTCTTAGATATTTTTGAGGGAAAGAATTCATGAGTGGGTTGGAAATGCCAGATCTTTCAAGACTTGCAAAAGAGTTGTGGTGGTGTTATTGTTAGTGGGGGCAGGGATCTGCAGTGATGTGACAAATCTCCATGGCCTGGCTACGCCTTGGTTAGGAGATGATGTGAAGTTTAGGGGTGATGGCTCGTTATGTCCCTACTCAGATCAACTTATGACAGTGACAGAGCAATTTTTGCTTTCAGTGCTGTATCACTTAGGAGCATGAGCTGCCAGCCCTGCTAGGGGTGATGTGCAGAGGCATCTTCTAGATGACCCCACTGGTTGCTGTCCTGTTTTCCTACTTGATAGATCATAGAGGTGCATTCTGGTTTTTTTCTTTTATTTTTTTCCTCCCCTCCTTGTCTTCAAACCTGGCTGAGAGGGAGGTGGAGAGGAAAATCCTCATGAATTAACATTATTTCCCTGGTGGGCTTTGCTGCCATTTTATCTAATTACGCCTGCTGTTTTCCAGATCACATTGTAAGCATTTGCATGAAGGGGCTTTCACTTACCTCCTCAAGTAAATTAAATAACAGCCCTTAGGCTGGGCTGACAGCATAATGCATTTTCATGTGGGAGATCAACAGCTCCCATACCTTGAGATGGGAAATGCTGAAATGACAGGGAAGCTCTGTGCTTTTGTCTCGAATTAGGGCAGCTAGACGGAGTTAGGGCCACTTTGAAAATGCCTGCTGCTGGCTCTTCTGGTGTGTAGGGGTTGGCAGGAAGAGAGGGGCACATAGGAATCTGCAGAGGGCCACAAAGAACAGACTCATGAGGATCCACGAGCTACGTGCAAGATGTGCAGGAAAGCCAGGGAAAGTAAGCCTGTTGTCAGCAGGTTTAAATGCACAGCCCTAATGGAAAGCGTGAAGGGATCTGCAAACTGTGGAAGATTGGAAGCCACAGACGTAAAGCAAATGAGAGGTGTAGGCCCTGCCCTGAGGATGTTTACAGCATGACTTCGTGGATGAGGAAGGCTGGACTTGTGTGGAGAGCTCAGGAAATCAAAACACATGGCCTTGACTTTCATTTCCACAATAAGCCAACCCGTAGTTTCCCTGTGCTTCATTTCTTCAATTTGCAAAATGAGGCAGTAGCCCTTCTGCTGAAATGACAGTCCGCTGCTTTCCTTGCCTGACCCGTTACTCCCAGCGAGCATCCAGCCCCGGGAATTATCGTCCTCCCAGAGCCCTTCATGATCCAGCCTCATGGGGTGATCTGCTCCCTTCACACGTGTGTTACACACCAGAAATGTAGATCAGCCCTTCCCTGGCTGTGGTCACTCCTTCATTCCTTTGCTGTAGTTGGGAGCTTCTGAGGAGGAGAATGGATCGGGAACAAATGACCATGAGGAAGTGTATTTCTTCTGCTCCCGATCAGTCCAGGCTCATCCTGGCAGAAAAGAGGATGTTCATGGGAGGGCAGGGAGATGAACTCCACCTCCCCCAACCATTAGGCTTAGACAAGCCTTGGGTAGCTCAAAATTCTGGTGTGCTCTTGGATTCTTTCTTTACAGGACCTGAAGTGGGGACATGGCAGCAAGTGGGCTGGTGAGCTGCACGGTCAAACTGAGTCAGCACTTGGGGAGTGAGGAAGAGAAGGAGATGGACTTCTACAGCAAGTAGGGAATTTAATCCCTACTCTGGCTTGCTGATGTTGGTCATGAATGGGGGTCAGCAACAGGAGAGGCTGCTTAGTTTGGGAGGCTGTACCTGATTTATGCAAAGCTCCCACCATTAGATGTTTCACATAAAGGAAGAAAGGTGATATGTGTTCATTTAGTTCACTGTAACTCTGTGGTGACAGTGACCCTCACAGAATTACACCTGTAATGTTGAAGTACCTTCTAGCTTTTGGTGCTAATTCCTTTCATCCTGTGTCATTGGTTAGGGATTAAGGAAATCATGCAGATCACTAAGATCTGCTTGAAGGAGTCTTCAGTGACTCGCTTTTGTCTAGGGATCTTTGCTGAAGGAATGTGATTTACTTGTTTTTCTTTAGAAAATCAAGTTTTCTGTTCCATCAAAACATAGTTCCAGGTTGAAGGTGGAGGAGAGCTAGAAATGTTAGTGTGGGGGGTGTGTAAACACCTTTTAACTTACATATTAAAGCATCTTGGCTCTTCCAAGTAACTAGAGAACTACTTTGTGATGCATTTCTCTGTCTGAGATGAATTTTGAATGCCAGCGAGATAATGAGATTTATCAAATAAAAAGCCTGTCTTTCACTTTGTTCAAGCTTGGCCTCATGCCTCAAATACATGGAGTTTAGCTCAGAAGCAGCTTGTAATTTGTATCACAAAACCGCCGTGTGTAATGCGTGATGGATGGTGGCCACTGGGTGCGGGAGGTTTGCAGTCAGGACGTGCTGATGGCTCCTGCTGACATTTGTGCCTGGTCAAAGTGGCTGCAAGGGACAGGGAGCTGCGAGTGGTCACCACGAGGCTTCTGTGGGAGAGGCTGAGGAGGTGTTCGCCTTCATAAATCAGGGATTCAGCTTTAATGTCAATCACTCTTTAGCATGAACTTGCAGGATGTTCACGATGCAAGACACGGTGCTGCTTTTAACGTGTATGGGGAGATGATTCAGGACTGATACAGCTGCTTCAGTGATCTGGTAGTATACATCCCATTATCATTATTCACTCACATTATTCACTGTTAGAAAGCTTTCTAACAATTCATGATATTTCTCAAGCTCTCATCCCCTCCTCTCTCTTTCTAAAAAAACTAATTTAATTTTATTATTATTATTATTCAGATTCCTGCTGTATACATCCCCCAAGCAGGTGGGAGGGGGAGTTGGTGGGTGATGACTTGGCTTTGTTGGAACTTCACTTAATGCAGGGTGGGGGCAGAGAAAATGAAGCTAAATTACGCAGATCCTGAAGGCACAGCTAGT